AATCGCTTCGTGTTGTAAACAATCATTTTATACTTTTTTAGCAGGGCGCTAAACGAGAGAAATATCGATATTTGACTATATTATAAATATGAATGTTTTCTTAAAACTACGACGTAGTACTTTGCTGCCTGATTCTATACGAGCCTTAATAGTAGGACCATCAAATTGTGGAAAAACTAATGTTATGCTTAGTTTGATAGAAAGCCCCAATGGATTAAAATTCGAAAATGTTTACATTTACTTAAAATCGCTGTATCAGACAAAATATGAGTACCTAAAGAAACTGATATCCACTATAAAGGGAATGAGATTGTATACATTTAACAACAATGACGATGTTATACAAACGGACGAAATAAAGCCAAACTCAATCATGATTTTTGATGATGTTGCATGCGATAAACAAAACAACATTAAAAATTACTTCAGCATGGGACGACATTAGAATGTTGATTCGTTTTATTTGTGTCAAACATACACACGTATACCAAAGCATTTATTGCGTGATAATGCGAATTTGATAATCGTGTTTAAACAAGATGATCTGAATTTAAGACATATATTTAACGATCACGTCGGAAGTGACATTAGTTTTGAAGATTTTAAAAAAAATTGTCATGAATGCTGGAAGGAAAAGTATGGATTTCTAACGATTTCCAAGGATAACGAAATTCACTTTGGAAGATACAGAAACGGCTTTCATATATTTATTCAACCTTAATATTAGTTAATGTATTTGCAAATGTTAATTTATATTAGTGCACCTACAGCCATGGAGGAGGAAATGCTGAAACGGCTTGTTAAGTCCAGAAATGTTTTGAAAAAGAAATTTCAAAGCATTAAAATGGGCGAAGAAGCTAAAACTACAGAATTGAAAAACACTTTCAAATCAATAACGGAGCCAATAAACAAACTATTAAAGCTTTAAACTGAAAATACTTCCAAAATGATTATGCCTAAGAAAGAGAAAATGGAAATGTACAGAGATTCTATTATTACAAGTACACCCTTAAAAATTATAAACCAGATGTTAAGTTAGATTCCAATGTATTGGAGGGGTTAAAGCATAAAGTAGATTACACACAAAATTTCGATTCCTTTAATATATCACAAGGCGACGATAAATTTTATTCCAACAATGAGGAACCTATGAATCTATCATTCTTGAAGAAAATTAAATAAACTAGATGTAGTCTATGGTCCACACAAAGATAACAATGGAGAATGGAGATTTGGGGACCAACCACTCAAAATAAGCGATGAAAAGATTATGATTGGAAATAAAAATTGGGCATTAACACCCGGTTTGTTTGAACTGTTCTTTTATCAAGACCCCAAGAACTATGATCATGCAGAACTCGATATTTACAAAACAATATTATTAGACACAAATGCGCATAGAATAAACTATGAATCTAATGGACGAATAAAGTCCAACAGGGGACAAAAATATAAGAAAATAATAAAAATATAATAGAGGATACTCACAGCGGCAAAGGCTTACTGACAATAAATCCTGGTAAACCCAACTATATATACTGGGACGATCCCAACGAATTGATAGAACGATTAAAGCTGTTGTTGGCATCACAATAACCATACTAATGAAATTGTTTTTTTATTATCGAGGAACTGCGAGAAGGAAATATAATATATTAAATAATACTCTCAAGGAGCATACAACACATGACTGTTGATAAGTTTGGACATCATTACAATCAGAAAAACCAATCAATAGCAGTGAGAGAAAATGTTTCGAGATTATTGGGAGTCAATATTGATGAAGATAACAACCTTAACGTGCAAAATAAAAAGATTAGGAATGTTGCACCTCCAGCAGAAGGAGCAGATGCGGTCAACCAAGCTTACGTACATACGCAAATCAAGTACATACAAGAAATTTTAAAGAAAAAATTCATTCAAGTGTGCACCTTGAACCAAGAAAAAGCGGGATTTAGTAAATGAACTTCATCATCAAGCACGAAAAAGGGTTATTACAAAAACGGCAACTGATGTTTCTATGGCTTTTGAAAAAATCTTACAAAGAGGAAGAATTCCAAAAAATTTGCAAACCGATGATGGAAAAGAATTTTTCAACAAAGATTTTAAAAAACTAATGCAGAAATATTCCACAAACCACTACTACACATATAGTGCATTGAAGGCCTCAATTGTTGAGCGTTTTAATAGAACTTTGAAGGAAACACCAAGAAATGAATATGAGAATTTGCGTTGTTGCAGAGTTTCATGACAAATTCTGTGTCAACGATAGATTGGAGCATGAATGAGAACATGCTTAATTATGCTCAAAATTAAAAACTCTAGTAACTCTGTAATATTGTGAAATTCGCGTTAAATATTCGTATATATAGAAGACAATTTAAGTAAGGCTCACAGTATAAAATTAAACATTGAAAGTGATATTATGGCGAACGCAGATTTAATAAATTTATTCAATTCTTTCAGTTATAAAAAAATAATAACTTTGAAAGAAATGGAGGATAACAATGAATACAACATCCATGGCGCCTTTAGAACAAATACAAAATATGGGGAAAGAATTGTGCTGAAAATTAGTGATGCTATCCTTTATTTGCCGTCAAGATTCCTCTCTCTGGCGGATGAGTACCTAAAAGAAATAGCTGGTGGGGGTTATTCTGTGGCGAAAACTGTGTTGAAAGATGGAAGTGCAGAGAGTCTTTACAAACTAGAATTAAAACATTTGGATCAACCAGATTATTTTTATCAACCATATTTAACATAAACTGAAAAGTAAATAAATATTTTGTTTGAAACTAAAAAATGCAAGCTGTTTTCATTTAAATGTGTACAGAGAGATATTTCAGTTTATTAGTGAAGCTTCAGAAAGGAAGATGTCTCTTCTTAATAAGGAAGACGAACGCTTAAAAACCTTTGCTCGCTGGCCTTTAAATTATCCAGATCCCAAGACAATGGCTGCAGTATATACTTGAGTAGGAGATATTACCAGCTGTTATTTTTGTAAAGTAAACATTCATAGTTGGGATCAAACTGATTGTCCTGTTACTGAGCATTCAAGGTTGACATATCGTTGCCCATTGCTGGAAGGGCGTGAAACAACTAATGTCCCAACTGTTTCAAAAAATTGGAATTGTATGCCTTCTGAAATTGGTGTAGACGTTTGTGGTCGCGGAGCGAGTAAATGTTCACCCATTTTCTTATTATTGTTCACTTTTATTATCTTTAATGCTTTAAATAAAGTTTTATGAAAATAATACAGTTTTTATTTATTAACTTTATTAATTTCCTCGTGTAGTATGTAGCCAAGTTCTTTCCAGTTTTGTTCAATGAATACAAATATCTTAAATATATTATTTACGGAACACTTAAATCTAGTGTCCAAATGTATAGAACAGTTTGTAAAATAATTTTGGCAAGCTCGAAGTTTCATATTATTTTCAAAATTTATAATGGTAGAATGAATATATTTCTTTCAGAAGATATTCTTTTCTTGTCCAACGACAAAAAATATATTGATAGTTGTTCAATGGTGTAAGAGCTTTCTCGACATCATTCACATATGTCTTGGTGTAGGCATTTGTTCTGCATGCTTCCCCAGTAAGTTCTTTTATATTAAAAGGTGGACGAAACAAAAAATAATCTGGAACAACAGAAGCACCACACATAAATTTTAGTTCCTTCACAAAAATACTCTTGTGGTGTCCATGGCAATGCTGAAAATCAACCAGTGCAATATCCGATCTATTGATTTCAATCATCTTCTTAGGAAACAAAGATGTCCACAATTGTATGTATGAAATCGTTGATCTCTTTTATAATTGTATGTAATAGCTGGTCCCAAATAACGTAAAACTTCTACCGGGGGTTGAAGATTACCGAAACTGTCGTAATGGTCGACATTATTATTGATTTTATTATATGCCACCCAATGCGTACCAGGTCCACTGCTAACACCCAAATTTATGATACCACATTCAATTCGATGTGGTTTCTTAGGTAAATTATCACGCGTATAAACACCTCTAAAGTGAGGTATATATTTTTTCCCAAAAAAAAAAAAAAAAAAATAATATTTGCATCGGTTAGAGCACCTTTGGGTAGCTGCTTAATTAGTTTTTTGGACTTTTAACCCTCAAGGACTATCGCCTGGGTGGAATCCACCCATAAAGCTGAATTTCTTAGAGAAGTTTATAATTTTTCATGAAAATCCTAACTAAATTATAATGTAATCCTCATTTAAATAGTTATTGATATAAAAAAGCATTATTTACAGCTACAAGTATGGTAATTTTTACATAAAGCAGGTTTTTTGAAAGCCTTGGGTGGTTTACACCCTCGATAGTAATGGTGATCAAAAATTGTGGGTGTTTTACACCCACGATAGTTATCAGTATTGAAATATATCAGTATAAAATAGTATTATATTTTCTTTGGAATTGGTACACAAAAGGTACGGCAGTGGCAGATAATGAATAAAATAGTCAAGGTAGATGTACTAGGTAATCGCATCAGCCCAGCTGACGGCACCACTAAATGTCAAAACAAATTGTTGTAATGAAGAACTCGCCCTAAATGAATGCAACAACAAATTTGTTTATGTTGTTTTCCTTAAAGTACCTTTTTATAATATTTCAAATAATTTAAGAGCAAGTTTAGAGTGAAACCAGTAAACAAATTAAAAGAAAATGAAGGAAGGAGGTTAGAATGGAGTGCAGCTTTAAGAATTAAGTTAGCCTCAACATCTAAGATTCCCAAAGCACATCACGGGAAGTAGTGCATGAATTCGACTCTTTCCATTTGCAGTTCCGGAAAACTTTCGGTTTAAACCAGTTAAATATAGTCATTATAAGTTTCTTTGTTTAAAAAATATCGCAATACTACAATTAATGCTTATTTTACTTTTATTTGTTTTACAATAAAAACTTTTATTGCGACGTTCGTTTACGACGAGAGCACACAAAATAAAATGTAAACAAACACCTCGTTTCTGATTGGTGGAAACAAATTTGCCGCAACCTTTAAATGTCATGGCGAATCTATGTTTTTCGCCTTAGATGCCAATTTTGACATTTGAGGGTACCACAAAAGTTGCTTTGTTGTAGCAATTCGACGATACGGTTACCTGTTAGATCTACCATGCAAATAGTTATACAGTAAAGAGCGTAAGACACTTTACGCTCACCCCTCTCCCAAAAAATACTGAAAGAAATGCTGTCACTTTTGCATAACAACTCATGTTTTTCTGTGTTAAAAGAAGATTACAAATTAGTGAACCGTTACGCCGAGTGTGGTTAAGAATTCTTTTTTCAGTGCAGTTTTGACTAAGAATGTGTGCCTACGAAATAAATCAAGAGCGACTGATGGCGCTTTTATCAGATGTTGACATGGATCAAGAAGAAAATATTGGTGGCGAAAGCAGTGGTGAAAGCAGTGATGAGGAAATTATGAGCAATCATGACTCTGGTTCTGAGCAAGAATTTGATAAAAATGAAGATAATGATGTAGTGCAATACATTGGGAAAGATGGAAGTATTTGGCAAAATGTTCCATTTCCAAAAACGCGAGCAACGGCTGAAAATATTTTCACAAATGCTCCAAAAGTAACAGCTACGTCACAAAACGTAACTACCCCGTTTGAAAGTTGGGCAATTTTTTTTAATTTTGTGGACCTTGTTGTGGAAAAAACAAACATTTACATCTTGAAGGTGCAAGTAAAATACAAAGATTTGAAAAATGCACGTTTAACACGTAGAGATGAAATAAATGCTTTATTTGGATTGTTGTATATCGGTGGTCTACACAAGTCTTCACATGTAAACGTAAGAGATTTATGGGCGTCAGATGGTACTGGGTTAGAAATATTTATAGCCACCATGTCATTCAATCGATTCTTATTTCTAATGCGATGCATTCGTTTCGACGATGTTAACACCCGTATGGAGCGTCGAAAATTAGATAAACTAGCCCCAATACGAGAAATATTTGAAATGTTCAATCAGAATTGTGAAAAAAATTTTTCATGCGGTAGTTATATAACGGTTGATGAAAAATTGGAAGGCTTTCGTGGACGCTGCAGTTTTAGACAATACATTCCTAATAAGCCAGCTAAGTATGGTATAAAAATATTTTCCGCGGTGGATTCAACAACATATTACACATCTAAATTGGAAATCTATTGCGGCCAACAACCACTGGGTCCATATAATTTATCAAATAAGGCAGAGGCAGTAGTAAGACGAATAATCCAACATCTCCAAAACTCGGGTCGAAATATAACGACTGACAATTGGTTTAAGTCTTACAGTCTAGCAGAATATTTGTTGGAAAAAAAAACTACGCTTGTTGGAACCATACGAAAGAATAAGCGTGTTTTACCCCCCTCATTTTCTCAACCCAAAAATCGGGAAGTTAAATCAACAATTTTTGGATTTAGAAAAAAATCTACGATCTTATCGTACATTCCAAAACGGAATAAGTGTGTTTTGTTGCTCTCTACATTTCATAGAGATGGAAAAATACTGGATGGTCCAAAGTGTTTACCAGAGATTGTTGAATTTTACAATAAAACTAAAGGTGGAGTCGATACGACTGACCAGTTATGTGCTACATATAATGTTGCCAGAACTTCAAATCGCTGGCCTTTGTTGGTATTCTATTCGCTTATGAACTTGGCTGCCATAAATGCACGTATAGTTTTATTATGCACTAAAAATCCACCACTGAAATATAAAAAGCGATCACTTTTTATAAAAGATCTTGCATTCAGTCTCATTGCGCCACAGATAGAAAAGCGTAGCAAAATTAGCACATTATCAAATAACCTAAAATTAAGCTGTCAAAAATTTGCGAAGAAGTTCTGTGCTAACATTGACGAACAGCAGAACATATCACCACCAGCCATAAGACTTAAACAATCCCGCTGCCAGGTATGCGGTAATGCAAAGGATCGAAAAACTAAGACGACATGCTGCAAATGTGAAATTTTTATTTGCAAAAGTCACACCAACCCTCTTTGTACGTACTGCTATGGACCAGCTTTGCAAGATACGAACTTAATCTATGACGATATGTTTACATGCTGTAATGAGTAACTTAAATTTGTAAGTATTTAGATCACGTTTAAGAAAAAAATTTACTTTATGCCAAAAAAATTATTAAATAACTTTTTCTTTTATATATTCTCAGCTTTCCAAATTAGTTCGTAAAAGGATCATAATGCAAAAACTCAAGAAGTTGAAGCTGATTTTGCAAAGTGCATTTTTAATATTTTATTTTTTTTTTTTTCTCTAATTGTTATATTCCTAACAAAATCATTAAATAAAACAAAATAAGTGAATTAAACATAGAATTTTGCAGTTTTTCAGTAGTTGGGTATTCATTCTTAAAACCAAATCAATTATTATATAAGTTTCGCTTGTCATTTGAGAAAACCAAATACTAACGTTGTATAGGTGGAAACCACCCATCTATAGTACAGACGTAAGTGAAATAGACGATAGTATTCGAGGGTTAATTTCATCAACATAAATTCCATAGCCCTTTTTATATGGTTTGAGATAGAGACCTTTACCCATAGCTATAGCTTCTATTGTTTTGTTATGTCTGGTTTGTCCATCCAACTCTTCTTTGGCTTTTTTTGCATTTAAAACGGCATTGGTGAACTACCCGATGCTAAGCCTCCCAATGCTCCTAATCCAGTTAGAATGGGAATGAGAGGAAGAAATCCACCTCTTTTGGGAACGCTTATTACTCGCGGTATAGCGACCTTTGATTTTTTTCCTCGAAACGTCTTTTGTATTTCATATCTGGCTATTTTTTTGGCTTCATCAATATCAGTTGGGTTTTTGCTTTTAAGGGAACTCGTAGCTTTTTTTAAAGCGCTTTTAAAAAGTTGTTGACCCAATATTTGTTTGGGGTTTTTATAACCCATCCCTAGCTTTGTCGTAGCCTTCATTATGTTAGTTACAAGATATACGCTAATTTTTTCTCCAATGTTACTATTTTTCGATTTTACTCGCTCCCAAACCCGTTCAGTTAGTTCACGATCAGCAATGTGACGTTGTTCAATATCTTTATTTTTGGAATAGGCAATATCGTGTGCTCTACACGCTGTATCTAATGGATTAATACCTTGATCTCCTCTTTGCATACGTTTTTCTAGCTTTGTTCCAGGTCCACAAAATTGATATCCTGGTAAACGAAGTTCAACGGGTAAAGAGTTAATCAACTGATTTACCAGTCCTCCTCCTTGAACGTGTTTCTTTCAAATAAATCGCTTCGTGTTGTAAACAATCATTTTATACTTTTTTAGCAGGGCGCTAAACGAGAGAAATATCGATATTTGCTTATATTATAAATATGAATGTTTTCTTAAAACTACTTAATAGTTTAAATCATGAGATTACTGGAACAGAAAGCTAAAATAATTGTTCAAAATGTGGATTTTATACAAAGGAAAACCCCTCGACGTAGTACTTTGCTGCCTGATTCTATACGAGCCTTAATAGTAGGACCATCAAATTGTGGAAAAACTAATGTGATGCTTAGTTTGATAGAAAGCCCCAATGGATTAAAATTCGAAAATGTTTACATTTACTTAAAATCGCTGTATCAGACAAAATATGAGTACCTAAAGAAACTGATATCCACTATAAAGGGAATGAGATTGTATACATTTAACAACAATGACGATGTTATACAAACGGACGAAATAAAGCCAAACTCAATCATGATTTTTGATGATGTTGCATGCGATAAACAAAACAACATTAAAAATTACTTCAGTATGGGACGACATTAGAATGTTGATTCGTTTTATTTGTGTCAAACATACACACGTATACCAAAGCATTTATTGCGTGATAATGCGAATTTGATAATCGTGTTTAAACAAGATGATCTGAATTTAAGACATATATTTAACGATCACGTCGGAAGTGACATTAGTTTTGAAGATTTCAAAAAAAATTTGTCATGAATGCTAGAAGGAAAAGTATGGATTTCTAACTATTTCCAAGGATAACGAAATTCACTCTGGAAGATACAGAAACGGCTTTCATATATTTATTCAACCTTAATATTAGTTAATGTATTTGCAAATGTTAATTTATATTAGTGCACCTACAGCCATGGAGGAGGAAATGCTGAAACGGCTTGTTAAGTCCTGAAATGTTTTGAAAAAGAAATTTCAAAGCATTAAAATGGGCGAAGAAGCTAAAACTACAGAATTGAAAAACACTTTCAAATCAATAACGGAGCCAATAAACAAACTATTAAAGCTTTAAACTGAAAATACTTCCAAAATGATTATGCCTAAGAAAGAGAAAATGGAAATGTACAGAGATTCTATTATTACAAGTACACCCTTAAAAATTATAAACCAGATGTTAAGTTAGATTCCAATATATTGGAGGGGTTAAAGCATAAAGTAGATTACACACAAAATTTCGATTCCTTTAATATATCACAAGGCGACGATAAATTTTATTCCAACAATGAGGAACCTATGAATCTATCATTCTTGAAGAAAATTAAATAAACTAGATGTAGTCTATGGTCCACACAAAGATAACAATGGAGAATTGAGATTTGGGGACCAACCACTCAAAATAAGCGATGAAAAGATTATGATTGGAAATAAAAATTGGGCATTAACACCCGGTTTGTTTGAACTGTTCTTTTATCAAGACCCCAAGAACTATGATCATGCAGAACTCGATATTTACAAAACAATATTATTAGACACAAATGCGCATAGAATAAACTATGAATCTAATGGACGAATAAATTCCAACAGGGGACAAAAATATAAGAAAATAATAAAAAATATAATAGAGGATACTCACAGCGGCAAAGGCTTACTGACAATAAATCCTGGTAAACCCAACTATATATACTGGGACGATCCCAATGAATTGATAAAACGATTAAAGCTGTTGTTGGCATCACAACAAGCCGGAAACAATAACCATACTAATGAAATTGTTTCTATTATCGAGGAACTGCGAGAAGGAAATATAATATATTAAATAATACTCTCAAGGAGCATACAACACATGACTGTTGATAAGTTTGGACATCATTACAATCAGAAAAACCAATCAATAGCAGTGAGAGAAAATGTTTCGAGATTATTGGGAGTCAATATTGATGAAGATAACAACCTTAACGTGCAAAATAAAAAGATTAGGAATGTTGCACCTCCAGCAGAAGGAGCAGATGCGGTCAACCAAGCTTACGTACATACAAGAAATTTTAAAGAAAAAATTCATTCAAGAGTGCACCTACCTAAGAGAAGAAATATCACAACTCAAACGTTCACAAAACGAAATATTTAAAGCCTTATCGCAAGCTCCATTCAACTCACCCGCTTTAATATATCATACCGAATAAAACAATGAAAAAGCAGGATTTAGTAAATGAACTTCATCATCAAGCACGAAAAAGGGTTATTACAAAAACGGCAACTGATGTTTCTATGGCTATTTATTAGAAAACTATGAAAGGAATCCCATCCAAGGATGTTTCTACAAAGAAGAACTTTTATCCACAAAATATCCCAACACGTATTTAGTTGAGAAAATTTTAAAAACAAAAGGTAATAAAGTCTGGGTTAAGTGGCTGGGATTCTCAGACAAATATAACTCATAGATAGATAATAATCATATCATATATCATATCATTAATATGTAGATATACATATATACAAGCATATATTTAAATAAATAAAAATCCATATATATAAGTATGCATATTTTGTATTTAAATTATTACGACAAAGAATTTTGCAATGTCAAGAACGTTTACTGTGTCCGGTAAATCTCCAATTCTACATTCAACATATTTACCCCCAATTGAATTGGGAAATAGTAGTTATGAGTGTTGCCTAATAGATTTCCAATCATACAATTCAATACCCAATGTGGATAATGATAACAATCTCTTTCACATTGGAGACAATATTATAAAAATATATCCTATAAATTGCAAGATATTGCGAATTACTTGGACACGGAATATAAAACTATCCACTAGAATAGATCCATTGAAATTAAGGCGAATAATAATACGCTAAAAGTAGAAATCATGTCTTCTCATGATCCTATTTACTTTGATAAAGAAAAATCTATAGGCAAGCTTTTTGGTTTCACCGAAAAAATCTTAGAATCTGGGAAAAAACATACTTCAAACCTTCAAGGCGACATTTTAAAGGTTAATGCCATACAAATACACTGCAACATTGTAACTGAATCATTCATGAATGGGTCGCCAACGCATATTCTACATGAATTTGCTCTTAATATTCCTCCGGGATATAAATTGGTGGAGAGACCGATAAATCTCATTTATTTACCAGTGAACGTCAAAGAAATCGGTCGTCTGGAGATAAAGATAGTAGATCAAGAAGGTCGCTTTATAAATTTTAGAGAAGAAGAAATCACGCTACGTATTCATATAAGACCAATGCAATCATGATTATCTACAATAAATACAATCATAAACAAATACCAAGACACATTCATCATAAAGTTGTCAAACCGACAAGACCTACAATTTCAAAGGAAAATAAAGAGTTCTTGAAACTTATTAAGTTTAAAGTCAAACCAAATGTCTGAAATACTTAACATTAATGAGCGGCCACAGCTATGTTCCATATATTCAATCATTTAAAAATAATGATGAAATTCGGATAAGTATACAAAATCAGGATCTTTACATACTTCCATCGGAGAGTTATCTATTAGCAAGGGAAAAGTTTCTCAAAATGCAAGACTTGTGTGGGATACATGTTTGATGAAATTCGCTATGAACTAAATGGAGTTGAAATTGATCGTACTCGTTATCTAGGAATAACTACAGAAATTAAAAATTGGATTTCTCTAAGCGAATCCGAAAGTAAGGTTATGAGCAAAGCGAGATGGAAAGCTGATAATGATTTATCAGTAGGCTACTTTAATTTTTGTGTACCCTTAAACCGTCTACTAGGGTTCGCAGAGGACTTTGATAGAGTAATTTGCAACAGCAAGCATGACTTGATTCTTTTGCGTAGTGCCAACGATAAAAATGTGTGTTATTCAACCATGGATACGGAGGAAATTAAACTCACCATAACAAATGTTGTATGGAAAGTACAACACATTCAATTATCAGACTACAGAAAAATCAGTTTCTTGAAAACTATCAAGGATGGAAATCGTTGCCTTTAGCATTCCGCAGCTGGGACTACTACTTTAATCCAACTTTTTCTGGTGGAAGA